CAAACGGAACCCGGTCCCGCTCATCGCCCCATTATTCTCTTTCTCGGGGGCCAGATGGTGGATCCCCTTGGAGAGGTGGTGGAAGAGATTCAGGGCCTCGGAGGAGTTTCGCGAGATGGACTACCTGATCCCCACGATCAACAAGGACAGGACGGGTTTCATCCCCCGCCCAGGCACCCCAGACAGGTCCCTGAGGTGGCTCAAAGACGCCTTGGGGAAGCAGGGCGCGCCAGCCAAGGATGTGGCTGAACTTTCGTGGTACTCCTTCCGGGTCTTCATGCCGGATTGTGCATTCCAGGCGCACATACCGAGGGACCAACGCCAGTACCTGGGAAACTGGTTCAAGGAGTCCACGGCGGACGTCTACACCCGAGAGAAGCGACACGTGGTGTGCTCCATCTGGGACCAGGTTCTCCAGAAGCTCCCGTCCATGCAACTCGAGGCAGGAAGGGCGGTCCGAGTCGACCTCGGACATGAGGACTGGGAGGACAAGGTGGAGTGCCCTGCCTCACCGAAGGCCTTGTTCAAGGAAGTCCCGGACACACCGCCCTCAAATGCCAGCTGGGATGTGATCCCCGCCGACAAGCCGGCCATCACCAAGGTGGCTGCAGATGAGGTGCCCCCGCCTCGGGGTCCACTGACGGTGATTGCCACCACGGCCCGAAAGGGTCCCACCAAAGCCTACAGCATGCACCTACTGGACACGGATGGAGTCACAGTGGGGTGCGGCTGGAGGCCGGGGCCGCTCAAGATTTCGGAGCTGGCAGAGCAGGATTTCCATGCTGAGCCGGAGATGTACCTGGGATGCACCAGATGTTTCCGGCATTTCACCTTCCCGAACACGTGGATGGCCGTGGAGCCCTATGCAGCACAGGACTCCGAGGCCTCCATCTCCCTCTCCTCGGACACCGACGAAAGCGTGGACACTCAGTCGGACAAGGAGGCGATCGTCCTCCCGGAAATTGAGTGAGGGGTGGATAGAGCAGGTGCCGAGGGCCCTGACACTCTTCCCCCCGTTCCTCAAGGCAAGACGGCAGGGGGAGAGGGCGCAGGTGCCGAGGGCCCTGAGACGCCCTCCCAGGCACCCCCCAGGGTCCGCAGCAGGACAGTTGCACGCACAGGTGCCGAGGGCCCTGAGATGCGCCAGCGGGACCCCACGGCATACGGGGAAGGAGGACCTCCCCAACGACCAGCTCGTCCGTTGGTATTGGCAGCTGATGCGATCCGTCCGTTGGGAATGGCATCAATCCTACTCCCATCAGCTGCTGAGGGGAGCTGCCCAGTGGAGCTGGGCAATCCTCCCATTTTGGCACTAACCCTTATGCGGCAAAAAGGAGGCACCGTTTTGCGAATAAGGCCTCAGTAGCACCAGAGTGGTGCTTTGAAGAGTCTGGGCTAAAGCGTTAACCGCAGGTGGTCGCTTGTCTTGACTCTTCATAAGTGTCCACTTGGGCCACCATTTTGGCTCAAGTGGACTCTGACCTTCTGTCTTGTAATCTGAAATCCCGCCCACCCACACCATGGCGGTGCCGCCGGATGAGTTGGTGGCACCACCACAGGAGATTCCCGGAGTGTATGCGGACGCAGTGGCCAAGCTCCACAAGACCGCCAGGAACCTCATGGTCCTCAAGGGCATCCCGTGGTTCATCCAAGCGACGCTGTCGGATGAGGGTTTTGTCTCGATGGAGGACCTCGCGACCCGGTGGGACTCGCCCGACCGGGCAAGGGAGACGGCGCCGGGGGAGTTGGGCTTCGCCCCCAACAACCACCACTACACGGATGTGACCTCCCGGCTGATCGCGGCCCGTATGTTCCAGGTGGTTCACGCGGCTCAACGATCCATGGGAGTGGGGGCACATGCAACATCGGGACCCGGGCCGCACACGCCCGGGGACACGGCCCCGAATCTCACGGTCTCGTGTGAACGGGGACAGCTGGAGAGGGTTTGGGAGGAGAAGACCAAACTCACCAAACCCAAGCTGGCCCTGCAAGGAAGCGACCAGCTGATGAAGCGCCAGTTCAAGCTCTGCGCAGGAGGCGAGATCGGCTTCATCCCCATGAAATACCTGGTAAGCGCACTCCCGGAACCAGGAGAACGGCCATGGAAGACCGCCAAGAAGACCACGGTTGATGGCTGGGACCGGGAGGACGAGGTGGAAGAGCGGGGCGAGCCGAAAACTCGCCACCAACTCGAGAGGATGCACGCGGTGTTCCGCAACACCCTCCTTATGTGCGTCCTCTCGTTTCCGCAGTTCGGCCAGTTCGACATCACCCGCCGAGGGCCCTGAGAGGGACCCCCACAGCACCAGCCTGCCCCCCAGGGCCGAGGGGTCTGATCGGGGCAGGGGGATGATGGATACCTCCGCCGGCCTGGACGTCTCTCTGGGGTCGACACCCTCAGGGAAGGGACCACTCCCAGGTGCCGAGGGCCCTGACAGGAGGGCCCCCTTCCCCCCAACCCCCCCGGGCACGGAACGCCCTGGGGGGGATCAGGGGGGAACCCCTGATGTGGCAGCCGCCGACACAGGGGGAAACCTTCATCATCCTCAAGGCGGATGTCACCAAGGCCCACAGGCGTATAAAAGTGCTCCCGAAAGACTGGAAATACCAGGTGGCCTGCATCCAAAACCGGTGGTGGGTCAACAGAGTGGGCACGTACGGCATGGCCTCGGCACAACTGTACTGGGGAAGAAAGGCATCCTTGGTGCTCAGACTCTTGTACTACATCTTCCCTCAGGTGGACTGGCACTTAGTCTTTGTGGACGACTACTGCTGGGTCCTCAGATGCAGCCGGGCGGACTGGGACGCCACAGCCATCCTGGCTACACTGCTGGCGCTGGGAGTCCCGCTTTCCTGGAAAAAGACGGCGCTCTCCCCGATCAATACCTGGTTGGGCTTTGTGGTGGACCCAATCACGCCCTGTGTACTGCTGGCTCCAGTCAAACACGTCATAATCCTGGCCACTCTTAAACGGCTGGCCCAGGGGGACATCTTCACCAGCAAGGAGGTGGAACAAGCCCTAGGCCGTATTCAATGGGCTACTTCGGCATGCCCATTGACGAAACCTTTCCTCCAGCCCTTTTGGAGCTGGAAGAAGGCCTGCACCACTTCGGGCAGGCCACCGAAGCTGGTTCGTGCTCTGGCCATCCTTTTGGGGAGACTCTTCAACCAGAGGTTCCCACTGGCATCTCCGTTTGCTCCCACACTCCCATGGACGGGGGCATCTGATGCGGGAGCTGGCAGACAGGCAGACCATGCATGGGTTGGTGGTTGGTGCTCGGACGTGCCCAACCCCGACAAGTCCCGTGTGAAGTGGTTCCAGCACAGAATCACACCGGAGGGCGAGCCGTGGGCCTTCACTACTGGGGACCCGCAGCGGGCGATAGCGGCCTTGGAGCTCTTCGGCCTCCTCCTTTTGGTGAGGGCCGTTCTGCTTTGTGCAGCCGGCTCGGCTTCTCACACTAGGATCCTGGTTGCTAGTGATAACCAGGGAAATGTTTTCTCCCTTCTTAACGATTCCACTCGCAGGATGCCCAATGCGGCCATCCTCATGGAAATTGTGCTAACGCTGCATGACCAGCAGGTCATGTTGGGGCCGTCGCATGTGAAGCGCGACTTTAACACGTGGGCGGATGAACTTACTCATCCGGACCCGCAATTTCCGACTGAGAACCGGGTCTTCCCCTCAGTCGAGAGCGAATTGATCACACTGATCTTCGCTACTTTCCTTCCTCACCCATGATGCCGGGAGGGCATCCGGTGAGGTGGGAGGATTCCTCCCTCGCTGTGGGAGTGGCATCAATCCTACTCCCATCAGCTGCTGAGGGGAGCTGCCCAGGGGAGCTGGGCAATCCTCCCATTTTGGCACTAACCCTTATGCGGCAAAAAGGAGGCACCGTTTTGCGAATAAGGCCTCAGTAGCACCAGAGTGGTGCTTTGAAGAGTCTAAGCGAAGTTTGTTTGCTGTGCCTTACATGCTCTTCACGGGTGCTTTTGAAAAAGTCAGGCGGACAAAGGCAGTCATGTTGCCATGCGGTTGTTTTGCTTTATCTATGAGTTGAAATGGGGAAGATGTTTCGTGGGAATTCCCCAAAGTTCATCAAAGGGTGCACAATCAACCGCAAGGTTGCACCCCACGTTGCTCGCTCACCGGCAAAGTAGAGGTCCCGTTCCTCTGGCACTTGCCAGCGTTTGGCTTTTTGGATTACCCCCAATTGACCAGCTTCACAAAGTAGACTTGTACAAGCAAAGGTTTAAGCCTTGTTGTTAGATGTTCACGGCCGTCTAAATTGGAATCGCTCTGGAGTTTTGCAATGCTGGCATCTTGGACACAGATCAATTTTGCGGAAATGTCAGACTTGCCCATGGCTTGAAAGGGAAACAAGCAGTCATGTGAGGTTTGGTAAGCAAACATCTAGCAGTCTATGGTTCATTTGGCAGGCATGGAGGAACTCACCAAATTTCCCACAAAAAGAAGGGAACCTGCGTTATTTTTAGCGTGCCGCAGCAATGTGATCAACCGGCAATATCACAACAGCGAATTGGCTTGGGAAGACACTGGCTGTGGGTTTAATGGAGAACACCCAGTAAATGGCTGGTGGACAAAAAATCACCACGTAAATGATGTCCACCAAAGGATCCCCAGTTGCAATGTATACCCACATGGGAACCTGCCCTATTTCGCTACAAATCCCTGCAACTTTCCCTTCCTTTGGGAGAAGAAGTTGAACTGGGCCAAGTCATGTGTAGAATATGCTTGCCTCTTGTGAGTCGAGGGTACCCCCAAGCTACAAGCCCAGCGGGAACGTGGGGCATACAACCCGTCTACAGCTGTGAAACAAAGGCGATTATGTACTAACCTTTGGGTTGGTCGTAGTTTGACCTCTTTTCAAATGTGTTTGAAGGGGCTGCTACACATATTCCCTGAAATCTAGTCTGGAACTGCCTGGGGGAGGGAGATCCCACGTGCTATTTGTGTTTTCTCGGATCCCGAGCCACAG